CTCTGTCATGGTCAGAGCATGCTACCTGTGTTCCACAAGCATAGCTGGGTGCACGACCAGAAACTTAATAATCCACAGGTCTCTGTTGTGGTTAGAGTGAAGAGAGTTGCACATGCGAATGGACATAGTGCTTCAATGTCCCCCACACAGTGCACATCCCCTACAATAATAGTACCACTGTGGCTATCCAGGCTCATATCCAAGATTACACAATTTCAATGCAGTACACAAGATGCATCACCTGTGGGCGACCACCATTATCCATCATTTCTTTGTGGCCCAGCAACATCGCCAGTGCACTCAGTGTGTGAATGATACATGTGCGTGCTTGTAGCATATCATGATCAATTCCCGATCAATTAAATTCACTATCCATGACCGCGGTATAACAATCATCCATTAAAGCTGTGGCAAGTTCTTGTTCTATTCTAAGTACCACTGGATGTGATCCAGTTCATTCCATACATGCTCGAAGGAGCTTAGGTCTGGAATGAAGGCAGGCCATGGTAGGAATTAAATGTGATAGTTCTGAAGATATCAGGTAAAGACTCTGGTGGCATGAGGTTGAGCATCGTCATGTTGAAAAACGGTTATGTCTGGTGTCCATTCAGAAATGGCCTTACTCTTGGCTCCAAAATTTCATCCCGGTATCTGTGGGCATTGAGGTCACTACTGATGACCACCAGATCAGCTGTGATACTAGCCAAGACCAGGATGCTGGACCTCCCCATCTGTTGTGCTCTATGACATTAAAGTCAAAGAATCATTCACCATGACACCGTAAACTCAAACTCTTCCGTCATTACTGGTACTGCTTATACGGAACTGTGATTCATCATTTGTCATTATCCAGTCATTGTGTTCGTGGGCCCATACCAACCTACGCCGATGACGATCTGCCGTCAGTAGAAGAATCCTGTTAAGACATCTGCTCTGGGGTCCTACAGCATGAAGTCAATTTCTGATAATCTGAGCACCAACCCTGTAATTCGTTCCACAGGGTGTCTCCCTTGCTGTAGTTTCTGCATTGCAGTGTCCATCATGGAAGTGTTGCATAATA